TTGTTTTTCCCTCCAGCACCACTTCTAATTATATGTCTGTTCAAATAATAGCACAGTGGCTAAGTGGTTAGCACATCCACCTAGTAGCACAAGAGTCATTGGTTTGACGCACTTCCTGCCTGGAGTTTGCATGTTCTCCCTGTGCCTGCATTGGTTTCTTTCAGATACTTCGGTTTCTTCTCACACTCCAAAGACATGGTAGTAGGTTAACTGACTCCTGTCTAAATTGGCCCTAGTATGTGTATTATGAATATGAGTTAGAGACCTTCGATTGTAATCTGTCAGTGTAAAATATATATGCAAAGTGCTGTGTAAATTGACAGCACTGTGCAAGTACATGTAATGAATAAATAAATAGCAACCCTCACCAGACATTAGATATGGGGCAGAAGGCAGGTATGAAGTTAAGCAGAGAACATAATCTCATAAAACTATTATATATTTTAGAATATATTTTATATTTTTTATTTTTCAATCTTGGTGTGGGTTTGCTGTATGGCTGATAGAATTCATAATAAAGCCACGACATGGTTAAAAAAAATAATGGCAATGTAAGCTCTAACTCAATTCTATTAGGAACATTCTAAAGTAGAAAAGAATCTTTGAAATAACCATGCTATTTTATTGCATCTTACTGCACACTGACCCACATTGTCCTCCCAGCAACCTGACATCTCACCTGAAGAAACCAAACCAAGGATATCGGAGTCAAAAGGGAAACAAAACAGCAGCGTATTATTGCTTGCCTGTTTGAAATGGTTATCAAGTTTAAGTTTTATGTGCCTTATATTGGTGCTTGATTTTGCATTGCAGGTATAGGTGCAAAAAAAAAAAAAAAGTTTTCCCTTAAAGTCCTACTTTTTCCTTTGAATCGGGAATAGTGAGCAACCCTGTCAGTTTTTTTTTTCCGTCAAATAACTCTTTATTCAAGAAAATTCTAGGAGTTTTAGATGTACAACAGCAATGTTAGGAAATACATCAAAACTGGCAGGCTGACTAGTCAGACATGAGTAGTCTTAGATTGTAAGCTTCAAGGAGCAGAGCCCTCCTATCCCTCTTGTATTGAACTGTATTGTTGCTGTTTTGTCTCCCTTTATACTGTAAAGCGCTGAGCAAACTGTTGGTGCTATATAAATCCTGTATAATAGTCAAACATGAAAGTCTCCAAGTACACAAGGATCGAACGGGAATTACCAATATGAATACTGATACTCCATAAAAACTCAAGAAAAAAAGGAGTCAGATAAGTTGGGCAAATTATTTCACGATAAGGGCATGGAAAGCACTCCGTCAGGTTTTTAATGCTACCTGGGTCTCTATTTGAACTAATGATCATTGTCACCTGGGCAAACGGCAGTAAAAAAGCCAAAGTTTAAATCATTAGCAGAACAGGAAGAGGGGAAATCTTTCAATGGGGACACTTGTGGCAGTGACAACTGTACAAGAAGATTTCCTTCAGTTCCTGTTTGTTTAAACACGTTTCGAAAAGAGAAACCCGACAAGAGTTTTGACCCCCTTGCAAAAAAAAATGTTTTATATTTTGGCTATACTATGAAGACATTTTGAGAAATATTTATTTTTAACACAGTGAATTCAACATTCATCAAACATTCACTTCAAATGAATCAGTCATTGTAATTTAAAACAAATATATCAGGAAGATATGCATAACGTCAAATTCCCTGTTTTAGAAATATACCTTATTATAACTTTAGAATGCTGAACGTCATGTTTACTACACATGTTTTCTAATCTGTACATTCTGCCAAAGAAATCAAACTGTAAATTTTAATTAAGTATTAACTAATAATATTATGCTTTCAGTTGTGGTGAGTAAACTCAAGTTTCAGTGTGTCCAAAGATAAGGAATATAATAATTTGCAGCAGAATGTGAAATTGGAAGATTCAAATCATTAAAATCTGTCAACTTCATTAACTGTCGGAGATTATTCTCAACCTGTCTCACATGTGGTCATTAACGATCAATAACAACTGCTGCTGTTCATTGATTACTTTCTTTTAAATGATGACAAACTACACTATCGCTCAAAAGTATGTGGAAGGAAAAAACGCTGCATAACACAATTGCAAAAAAAGTTACTTTAAATAAGTTTTAAATATGTGATATTATCAGTAATAAAAAGACTCATGTACCAATCTCGCCCTAGACAGTATAAGTGATTAGTTATGTTATCATGTTTAAGTATATTTATTTTTCATTTTTAACAAATTCAAGGTTTGTGTAGATGCCTAAGGAGCACCTAAGGTCTGTGGACAATAACAGCATTTGACATATTCACATGCAATTTTGCAGTGTTATAGAATCATGCTACATATAAAAGAAGAGGAGTTAAATTCGAGGGGTGTTCAAGTTAAACTGTATAAAAAGGAATGCTAGTGTGGCGGTACTACACGCAGTAGTGTCAATTGTATCCTATTACTGATAGGTGGCACACATGTCACAGGCTAGTCCAGAGACCATTAACCAAGATGGTGGACAACAGTGATAGTGCATGCATGGAACAGCGTGTGGTGATGATGTTTCTTGTGAATGAAGGCGTAAAACCCATAGATATCTACAGAAAACTTCCAACACAGTACGGTGATGAGATGCTGAGCTGCAGTAAGACATTTGAATGGTGTAAACGACTCAAAGATGGCAGTATGTCCATCAGTGACGATCCGTCCGTGGTGGTTCCCAGCTCACAGCAGTCATTCCTGTGAACATTCAGCGCATGGAATACCTGACACCTGATCCTGGATAATCAACACATAACTTGTTGTGAAATTGCACAAGAAACAAATCTTTCTGTGGAAGCGGTGAACACAATGATGACAAAGTGAAGCAGGCAGTCCTTAGGATGGTTCAGGCATACTGACAAATATTTCTATGCCAAAGCTTTCCAGGCATTAGTTAAATTCTGGGATAAGTGTATAAATGTAGCAGGGGTGTATGTAAAACAAAAATCCAGGTTCTACTCCTTGAAATGTGATCTTTTATTATATAAACTCAAAAGTCATGGTTTGACTTGAATGCCCCTTGTATATTTACAGAAAATGTGTACATTATATTTGTTAGGCAACCTGCAACTTTTGCAGTTGCAATGCAAATTACCATTTAACTCTAGTGCCTGTATACCCCTTATGGGTTTGGCTTACTAAAGGCACATAGGGAGCTGCACTTTGCAAGGGAATTTACTCCAGAGCTTAGCAAATGATAACTTCCATCCAATCATGTGCAAGCAAAAATGCTTTTTTTTCTTTTAACTTTCCTTTCATGTGATTGGGATCTCTTTGCAAAGTGAAGCTTCACCTCATTTACTAAGCTCTGAAGCAAATTCAGTGATTAGCCCCTTGCAATTTTTACATTTCAGAGATAAGCCAGTGCAGCAATCAGCTTGTGGTCAACCTGTCACTTTTTTGACATATGTAGTACAACCAAAGAGCCGAATTGGTTAAAGCGGAGTTCCATTCACCCTGTCAAAAAATAAAAGTCAGCAGCTACAAAAACTGTAGCTGCTGACTTTTAAAAAACAGCCACTTACCTGTCCCTCAGTCTCACGGTGTGTCCCCCACAGCCCATTTCACCGGCCGTCCTGTATTCCAGGAGGCCGGCATCTTCAGTGTGGGCACCCGGCTGTGATAGCTTGTGACTTCACAGCTGGGTACCCATTGCGCATGCGCGAGTAGCGCTGCCCTTCATGAATGGTCCTGTAGTCTTCTGGGACCTGTCACGTGTCCCAAAAGACTACAGGGAGGGAGGGGGGACACTTTCCGTTTCCGATTGCCTAGGCGATCGGACCACAAGTGGGAGCGGGTACCTGTCAAATTCAGGTACCCGCTCCCCCCGCCCCCAAAGGTGCCAATCCTTAATGGGGAGCGGAGGAGAAGTCCTTAAAGTGGTACTTCCCCTTCTGGGTGGAGCCCAGCTTTCAGGACTTTCGGCATGCAATGTACAGTATGTTCCCTTGAACTAACTGCTGGCATCCACTGTCAATTTGACAGCCAAGGCCCTAGCAACCACACTGGCTTCCTTGATAGTAAACAGCGTAAGGGCAGAATATTCTGCAAACAACTACAACATTAGCAATAAACTAATGGGGTGGGGGGAAACTTGAGTATGTTCAGATACATGTGACTGTGTACTTAGCAAGGCATTTGTTACCTGAATGTTCATTTAACTTAGTGACCAAGGGCCGCCATACAGGGACCGGACAAATTTCTAACCAGATATGGGCAGGCTGCTATGTCCAAGGGACATTAAAAATTAAAAAAAAGACAAAAAACAGGATTTTTTTTAACCACTTGACTTCTAGAAGTTTTACCCTGTTCATGACCAGGGCATCTTGTGCTATTTAGCACTGTGCTTTTATAACTAGCAAATGCTTGGTCATGCAACACTGTACCCAGATTAATTTAGATAATTTGTCACACAAATAGAACTTTGGTGGTATTTGATCGCCAGTTTTTTTTATATTTTTAATTATATAAACAAAAAAGAACATTTTGAAAAAAAAAAACAATATTTTCTACTTTGTGTTTATGTGAACATTATATAGTGTCTACAAACTATTGTATATATACTTGAATTTATACAGCTAGAAACTATACTTGTAATGGCACTAATCAGTGACTTAGAGTGTGACTAATAGTGTAGTGGCCAATCTGGCGCTAACAGACACTGGCTGTTAGGACACTAACTGACACTGACTTCACTAGTGATCAGATATAATACTGTACACTGTACTAAAAACACTGGCTGGGAAGGGGCATTCAAGAGGTTAACTGTGTTCTTAACAAGTATAATGTGTGCTGCTATTACTCACAAATCTGACTGCTTTTTCTTCCTGCTTTTCATGGAGAAGAAACACCCAGATTGTTCTTCTGTTTACACCGAGTTCTGTGTGTTTGGAAACACAGAATTCTGTGCTTTGATTGAACACAGCGGATCAGCAGGTTTCAGCCAAAATCATTGGCTGAAACCTACTGACAAATTCGTGCTGACCATTTGGAAACTCGGGCACTGCCCGAGGGCTCGGGGTCAGTAGGGGGCCCATGAGATGCCCCTGGTACCTTTTTCATAGGCTTTTTTGTATTTGGGCAAGGACACAGGGGGCCCATGATCCCCAATTGCCCGGGGGGCCCCATAAGTTGTCAATCCGCCCCTGGCTGTGTCCAATCACAGCATTGGGTCAGCAGGGGGGTATGCATGTGCACCTGAAAATCCATAAGCAGGCAGCGATGTACATTGATGAACCAACAACTGCTGCCCGCTCATAGTAAATGTGCTGTGAGCAGGCAGCAAGCAGTTAAACATGATCAGATGATTGAAGTGAACACAACACCTTTGTTGCTAAGCTAAGTGGACATTTTGCTAAAGTGAATAGTGTCTATCCATTTAATAAATGCACCCCATAAAATTTTATTATTGCAAAGGTTTATCCATTGATCTACTGATAATGTCAGCTACAGCGATTCCACGAGTGATTTTTATTTGAATAATTAGGTAATAATTAAACCTAATGGTTTTGAAATCCCCCTCCTTTTGCTGCTTCTTTTGTCCATTCATATTGTTCATAAACCATTTTTAAACATTAATTGGTTTAATTTTTCTAGAATTATATTAAAATAATTACACTGAAAGTACTGTATATATTATATAATGTCATTACAAATAGGGCAAGTCACAGATAAAATGTATACAGTAACATTACTTTCTTAAAAGTGATCACTGCTCAATCTAGAAAAAAAATTCCTTATTTTAGTTTTGTCTTTAGAATATATAGAAAAAATATTTTATGGAATACAATATCATTGCCATCATACCTTGTTTACCCCTCAAAAAATGGGTATTACTTTAGTACCTTATGTAATGATAAAAGCTACCTCCAGGTTATTGACCATAGTTGCAATGTAAATATTTGCTCTGTTCTATATGGGATATACAGGTGTATTCAAAATTTAAAATTACAGGATGGTTTGTGCAAGATTATACATATTATATCAATTATTTCACAAAATTAAAGACACATGTTAAACAAGTATATCAAAACTCTAAAACCCTAAGTGTAAAGAGTAGCTGGTTTTGCAAATATATCACAATGAAATAATGCAAACATATTCCATCAGATAAGGAGACAGCATAAGTATGCACCCTGATGGTTTGACAAGCATTTTCTAACTGCTAATTATCATTTTGCCCCCTTGAGGGCTGCCAGAAAATGAAGTTCATGAAATGAAGGTAACAGTTGTTTGCTTCAAGAATGGACCATTCTAGAGATAACAGCTATGTTACAGATCTGTCTTGCCATAGTTATGGGAGAGAAAACATTGACAGGATGACTATCATTAAGAAGCAAGAATTGAGCTCAGTCTCTAACAAGAGTCACGTACTACTGTTCATCAAATAGTCTATAGCTGTCGCTCCAGGTGCTGCAAAATAAAGGAAAGAAATTGTTCTCTCTAATAGGAAGTCCCATTTGTTTTAAATGTGTTTAACTCTTTCTACACTAAACGGAACATGCAATACCTGATCACCGAATATAGGTAAGCATTTAACAGGTTTTATATAGAAAACACTTAAGTAAACCTGCAACAGAAATATAAGGACTGTCACTACTGGATCATCTTATGAAAAAGCTAGATATGATGACCCTCCACTATTAATATTTTGAATCAGTTGGGTTGATTTACTAAAGGCAAATAGGCTGTTCACATTTCAAGAGAAGCTGCACATTGCAAGGGAGTTTTCCCCAGAGTGTAGTGAATGTAGTGAAAGCTCACTTTGAAAAAAAAACAATCAGATGCAGTTTAAAAAAAAACATTTTAGTTTACACATGATTACAGTAGATGATGAAAGTTAGATTACAAAATGTATGGATTATGGAAAACCATCTAACTAGTTCAGCTTAAAGAGCAAACCATTAAGCACATGCTGAGGGCTGCAGTGGCAGGCTTCAGCATGTTCTAGTTTTACTATGAGCATCTTCGTTATTGGCTCTGGCTAATGATTTCCAGGACCCCAGTGGAAGCATGGCTGCAGAGGCTTGTATCCAGAGAAGGGATCCTGGTTCCATGCTGTCTGTCAGATCCATTTAAAGGGGGCTTCCTGCAGATTCTTGTTTAACATATTGCGCTTTAATTATGTGCATCCGGTCAGTGCGCATTTTTTTTTTCAATCTTCCGCACAGATAAAGCCACATGCAATTATTGGATACCACTTGTGCATTAGGATCCGTTTGAAGCACTGTATGCTGACCTGATTGTGTCAACCCTTCACTACTTTATGAACACTTTTTGTTATAAGACTTTCACAGTTGCACTTACTTTATTGCGCCCATCATAGTGCTTCATCCACGTATATTTGTTATCACTATTATTTAATATTGCCTTATTAATATCATCAATAATAATTTATTATTCAATATTTCTTCAGTTTACATTATGTAATGTTTTAGCGCTGCACTTGTTTCTATTCTGATGTTCTAATTTTACTCAGCCAGCTCCTGGCTGGAAAGTGAAAATGATCCTGTGGTTTTATAGTCACTGATCACTTTCATTGTACAGGTCACACAGTGTTGTTCCCCCCCCCCCAGTTGGGAAACCCCTGCGTGGTTCCCAATCTTACTGGGAGGACACCAAAGTACATCCATTCTTCAATTTCCTCTGCACTGAATGAAATGGAACGTTTCAGAGGTTCCATTCCCTGGCTTATACAGCCAGCAGAGCATGTAACCAAGCAGATCTCTGCTTGGTTAGATGCAGGGGAGACATTAGGGGGTCTATTAGACTCCCAATGTCTCCATAAAATGTACTTGTCACCTGCCAAATGATATCATGGGGGTTTTGTTAATCCCTCTGATAGCAAAAAAGTGAAATAAAAAAGTGAAAACAAATATTAAAGCGTATTAAAACTAATAAACATAGCCCCTGTTGCCCCGCAAACACCCACACATGCAAAATTGAGTGCAGGGTGTTCACATGTATGTAATCCGCAATCACACCACACATCGCTGCAAATGTCAGACTGAGGGCCATATTTCTTGTGCCAGAACTAACAGTAAACTCTAAACTGATGAGCAGTAAACACTTTTAAAGTATCACCTATGAAGATTTTTGGGTACCATAATGTTTCTGATATTACAGATGTACACAATTTAAAAACGTGGCATGTTTGGTATCTATTTACTCAATGCAACTCCATAGTTTATATTTTGCCAAACATTGGTATTATATTGAATGTGTTTGCATTAAATATATTTTTATATTATTTTCTGAAATTTTTTGTTTGACAAACAGTTGCACAAATATCATACAACATAAAAGATCATCTTTTTATTTTACAAGGCCTCTGCTTTCAGAAAATATGTAATGTTCTGTGAGTTTAACCAGTTTCAGTCAGGATTAATTCTGCAATTCCTCTCCTACATGTAAAAATTTGAATTTTGTTTGCTAGAAAACTACTTAGAACGCCAAACAAATATATATATATATTATTTTTTTTTTTTTTTTTTTTTTTCTTTTAAGCAGTGGCCATAGAGAATAAAATGGATAGTGTTGCATATTTTTGTGTCACATGATACTTGTGCAGCAGTTTTTCAGTGCGTTGGAAAGAATACATCTTATTTGGTGAAGGTTAATGCCCAAAAACACAGAAAAAAATATACTGCCCAATTTGTGGTAAAATATAAAAGATGATGTGGTGCAGAGTAAATAGATACCTAACATGTCACACTTTAAAATTGTGTACTCCAGTGGAATGGCAACAAACTATAGCAATTAAAAATCTCCGTAGGCAACACTTTAAAAGCCTTTACAGTTTACTAGTTTAGAGTTACACAGGAGGTTTGGTGCTATAATTATTGCTCTCACTCTAATGTTTGCACCAATAGCTCAAATGTGTAGTGAGTTTGTCATTTACATATGCATGTGGGACCTATGTATGGGTTTGCATTTGCAGGTGAACACGGGGGGACAGGGGTGCTTTAAAAAAAAATATTTTATTTTATTTTATTTTTTATGTTCTCCCTTTATTTTTGTTTATTGCTATCACAAGGAATGAACATCTCTTGTGATAGCAGAGGCATGAGAAGTCCTCTGACCTCCAAGGCACTGAGATTAGTTTGATCAAATGCTTTCACAAGTTAGTAACGGCTTGTTTACATAAGACCGAAACCAGAAGTGCTAAATTCCAGGTTGCTGTAAAAGTAATCCAGTGGCTCTATAGCCATTCGGATGAATTTTACTTTGTGCAGAATTTCTGGCCCTAAAACATTATACCTATATCATTGCTGCAGCTGCCGAGATATCACCCTTCACCTGCAAGGATATACGCGTACGCACTAGAAGTCATTTTATGGCCAAATGTAGATTTTTACAAGGGTACAAAAAAACAAAAAAAAAAATTGTTCTAGTGCCGAAGTGCTTAAACAAGACATTTCATTTTTAGACTGTGAATTTGTATTCTTAAACATGATACTAATACAACTACAATCACATTAAAATGGTTTTAAACCCAGAAAACACGCCCCCTTCTCTCATGTTCATACACAAGACTCCTAATTTGTCTGTCAGTCAAAGGAGAGGGGGTGTGGTGACATTTTTTTTTCATGTGTCGGGTCTTTTCACTGTAGAAAAGCAGAGAGGATTTCAGATGACTGGCTGCTCATTTCCTGGCCAAACTGGGGACAGAAGACTTTTGCTGCTGTGCTGTGTGAGGTAGACTGGTCATTTAAATTTAGATTTTTTGGGTTTACAACCACTTTAACCACCTCCCACCTGCCATATAAGGAAATGACGGATGGGTGGTGGTTCTCTCGTTCTGGGAGGATGTCATATGACGTTCTCCCACTCTGATCCGCGTGTGCGCGCCGATCGGTGGTGTGCTCTGTCCTTAGGACAAAGCAGATCAATGATCAGCGAAAAGAGCCAATGACTTTGTCTCTGTCATGTGATCAGCTGTGTCCAATCACAGCTGATCACATGTAAATAAGAAAATGCCGGTTATCCGCATTTCTCTCCTCATGAGCTGTCAAGCTGACAGCTCGTGAGGAGAGGAGAGCCGGTAATCGGCATTCCTTAGAGGAGACATCTACACTGATCATCAGGGCACTGATGATCAGTGCCCTGTTGACCAGTGTAGCCCCATCAATGCCAACTGTCAGTGCCCATTAATGCCACCTGTCAGTTCCCATCTGTATCACACCAATGCCACATATCAGTGCCCATCTGAGCTGCCTTTCAGTGCCACCTATCAGTGCCAGTGCCACCTATCAGTGCCCATCAGTACCACCTAACAGTTCCAGTCAGTGCCACCTAACAGTGCCAGTCAGTGCTGCCTATCAGTGCCACCTATCAGTGCCATATATGAATACTGCCTTTCAGTGCCCATCAGTGATGTCTGTCAATGGCCACCAGTGATGCCTGTAAATGCCCATCAGTGTGCCACCTACCAGTGCCTCCTCATCAGTGCCTATCGGTGCAGCCTATCAGTGCCTATCGATGCAGCCTCATTAGCGCACATCAGTGAAGGAGAAAAAATACTCATTTACAAAATGAGTAAATGAGCAAAGAAACTAAGAAGAAAACTTTTCAAAATATTCAGTTGTTTTTGGCTTTTTTAGCAAAAAAAATAATAAAATCCAGTGGTGATTTAAAACCACCAAAAGAAAGCTCTATCTGTCTAATAAAATTTAAAACAATCATATGGGTACAATGTTTGCATGACCACACAATTGTCATTCAAAGTGACAGCACTGAAAGCTGAAAAATTGGCCTGGGCAGGAAGGGGGTGAAAATGCCCAGTAGACAAGTGGTTAAACAAAGACAAAAAATAGATAGCTACAGTATTTCTAAATTTAAAAAAATGTTTAAATACTGTGCAAGTACATTCCTATAGAAAAAGAGCATTCCAACAATAAAAAGAAAACCAATATGAATGGAATAAAAAAAAACATTTAGCCTGGATTCAAACTTTTGCCCTTGTGTAGCAGCACATTTTAACCAGCCTTGAGCTCAGAGGATTTACCCCCCTTAATGACCAGGCCTCTTTTTGCTACTCGGTGCTGCACTAATTCAACTGATAATTGCGCGGTCATGCAATGCTGCACCCAAACTAAATTTACGTCCTTTTTTCACACAAATAGAGCTTTCTTTCGGTGTAATTTTGATCACCTGTGCGCTTTTTATTTTTCACGCTATAAACAAAAAAAGGCCAAAAATTTTGAAGAAAAACAATATTTTTTACTTTCAGCTATAAAAAATATATAGTAAACTCAAAGTTGGTTATAAATTTAGGCCAAAATGTATTTTGCTACATGTTTTTGGTAAAAAAAATCCCAATAAGTGTATATTGATTGCTTTGTGTGGAAGTTATAGCATCTACAAACTATGGTATAGATACTGCAATTTACACATTTTTCTGCTATACAGCGCTGCGCTAGTTTAATGGACAATTGCGTGGTCATGCAAACATGGTACATAAATGAAATTTACATCCTTTTTTTTCCCACAAATTGAGCTTTCTTTCAATTTGATCGCCTGTGCGGTTTTTATTTTTTGCACTATAAAAAAAAAGGCTGACAATTTGAGGAAAAAAAAAAACAATATTTTGGACTTTTTGCTATAAAAACATGTCCAGTAAAAAAAAATGCAAAAATCAAATTTAGTCATAAATTTCTGCCAAAATGCATTCTGCGACATGTCTTTGCTAAAAAAAAAAAACAATACGTGTAAATTAATTGGTTTACGTGAAAGTTATAGGTTTACAAATGGCGGGAAAGATACTGGGATTTTTAGGTTTTTTTTATACTAATAATGGCGGCGATCAGCAAATTATGGCGGCGATCAGGGACTTATGGCAGCGACCAGCGACTTATGGCGGGACTGCGGGACTGCGGCGGACATTCTGACATTGGTTGGTACTGACTTGGGGTCACTGACATCCCCAAAAACACTAATACAGTGATCAGTGCAAAAAAAAAAAACACTGACACTGTAATGGCAATGGGGAGGAAAGGGGGTTAACTTTATTTTTCAGGAAAGGGTTATAGGAGTGAGGGGAGTGTTTTACTAGGGGGCGGGGTTGTTTACTGAACGGGACAAGGCTGATCGAGAAAGAGAAACTGTTCTTTCTCGATCAGCTCATCCTCGAGCTGACAGGGAAGTGCAGACAGCACAGCTACTGCAGCTGTGCTCTCTGTCACTGTTTGCCGCCGATCGCCGGGGCATAGCCGCTAAGGAGCGGCTGTGACCCGGCGACTGACATCTGCGGCGGCGGTGATCCGCGGGACAGATAAGGCGGCGGCGTGCCTCGCACGCGCCCCCTATTTGTTTACAAAACACACGTTTTAAAACGTGGTTTTGCCTGCGAGTGGCCGCCCTGGCGCCTGCCGCCGTATATGTACAGTGGCTGGGCGGCATGTAGTTAAGAGGTGTTTTTGATGCAGGTCATGATGCACTGATGTTCAGTGCCATTCCTACCAAAATAAAGCTATGTATGAACTATCCCAAAGTGCAGAAAACATTAAAGGAACAGGTAAGGGTGAAACAATTTGATGGTTTGTGGTATGGTATAGCCTTGTTTCTTAGGTACATCTTAAAAAACTCTCCTAAGAAACAGTACTGTGTCTTATGGTAAATACAACACTGCTAACATATACAGTATTTTCTGGCGTATAAGACTACTTTTTATACTTAAAAATATACCCCATAAATTGGGGGTCGTCTTATACGTGGGGTATAAAATGTGAACCTTGAGTTTGTTTGGGTCAAGCTGGCTGGATGTGTGGTAATACTGTATATACAGTATACCGTGCTGAGCCAAGCTGGCTCAAAACAAATGTCACTATGACAGATTAATCTGTCAGCCCGCTGGATGTGTGGTATATACAGTATACTGCACTGAGCCAAGCGGTCTCAAAACGTACCGGTACGTCCCTACTGTAATCAGCCCGCTGGATGCGTGTATGTACAGTAGCTGAGGCTACATACAGTATACACTGGGCCAATCACGGCGAGTGATGTATTCTACTAATGAATACAAAGCCTGCTCGGATTGGCTGAGTCAGAGAGGTGGGCTGATGATGTCACAACCTCAGCCAATCCAAGCAGGCTTTGTATTCATTAGTAGAATACATCGCTCGCCATGATTGGCCCAGCGTATACTGTATTTAGACTCAGCTACTGTACATACACACATCCAGCGGGCTGATTACAGTAGGGACGTACCAGTACGTTTTGAAACAGCTTGGCTCAGTATACTGTATATACCACAGTGGTATATACTCAGTATACTGTATATACCACACATCCAGCGGGCTGACAGATTAAGTCATAGGGGCTGACAGCTTTAATCTGTCATTAGGGACATTTGTTTTCTGTCGTGGCCATTTGTTTTGAGCCTTGGCTCAGCGCGGTATACTGTATGTACATTACTGCACATCCAGTGGGCTGTATATATACTGTATACTGTATGTAGCCGAAGCTACCGTATTACCGCACATCCAGCGGTAACCATCTGATTTGGAATTTGATCCATATGATGACTGTCTTACAAATGTATCACAAGATGTCATTCATGAACTTATGATTTCAATTAAAAAATCTGATGTTTTTTTTTAATGGTGTTGCCTCGGAAGGGGGGGTAGTCTTATACGGCGAGTATAGCCCAAAACTTATGTTTTAGCTGGAAAATTAGGGGGTCGTCTTATACACCCAGTCGCCTTATACGCCAGAAAATACGGTAATTACTTGTGTAACATATATACTTTTATTTTACCAATAGTTTATCCTTTAACTACAGTCTTCTTTTTTTACAGAGAGTATACTGAGTAAACTATGCAGTCAATCTAATTCAAATTTAAATTAATTTAAGTTAGCAATTAGGACTAGCTAGTAATGGATGTACACTTGTTAAGAGACAAATCGGGTACCTTGGTGACCTATCTAAGCTTGCAGAGCCATATGAAACAGATCTCATCAAGAAGCAAATATTGATTTTATATTCAAATTCACCATTCTGATAAACTATGAGATGCTCCATTGCTCCTGAGACTTAACTCTATTGTATTTGTTGGTTCTCTTTGACTTGGCAGAGCAGGAATAACATGCTAAATAGACCACAAGAATTACCAATAACCCAAGATGTCAGATGTAGCTTGTCTTTCTGATAGCCAATTACTGCAGCTCATTACATTGTGAAAGTAGAGAAAAAATTGCCTGCTCGTCAGTCAGTGCTGGAGCATCTGATTTCCACTAATCTATTCATAGCGTTGAGCTATTAACTGCTATATCCTACAAATTGTATGTTTACACTACGTAAAAATAGAGCTTTATATGCTTACAGTAGCTTTAATGAAATAAAAATTGAAATATATTAGAAAAAACTATACACTTATAAATATTGATTATATGTTGAAGATAAACAACATTAACATCTATTTCAGATAATATAAATAAGGGCCCTCATCTGTGCATACTAGATCAGCCCACCCTTTCAACTTCTGTATGATGTTCTTGTATATATTTAAAAAAAAAAGCATACTATATTTAAAATGAAGAACTATAATTTATAGCTATTGGGACCAGTGGTGTATTTAGGGTTTGTGCTGCCCCAGGCAACAAAAAAATCATTTGCCCCCACAGACACCGACCAACACCACCCCCCCCCCTCCCAGGGAAAAGGTCTGACATTGGCCAACAACTCTCTCATCTTCTTCAGCCTCACACATCCCCGGGAACAAGAGTCAGGCTCTACATACACCATCAAGCAGCTCGCAGCCCCTCTCTGATCCCACCTGGTTCCCATGGGCTGCATGTCCCTTCTTTCATCCCTTCTTCTGGGGGGAGGTGTTTCCCCCCTGAAAGATTCTACTTTGTAAGACTCTTACCTCTGATGCAAACATGTGTCCCAGATTTGTCTTTATAATTCTGATTAGAAGTGCTATTCTACACTATGCCTCCAAGCTCTGTACTTTTTACCACTGTGTCACTCTGGTCAAGGTCCCTTTCTACAAAAAAACTACTCAGCTAATGTCTTTTGTTCCAAATGTTTGGCTTAGCACTATTTTCTTACTACCCCACCCACCATGCCACATATTTGACTCCTTGCTTTGGAAACTTCATTTATGCTAGTGTAGTCTTTCTCGACTTTGCTCTCCTGCACCATCACGTACTGTACCTTCGTACCTTAGTACCTTCAATTTCATGTGTCTTATTCTACTATCTTTACGAGTGTCTTGGGTAGT